ATGACTCACAAAAGCGCCGTTATCGTGGATTAGTTTTGGCCCACGCCGTGCAAAACCAAAAAAGGTTTCTCCACATCCCCACAGTCAAACTAGAGTTATAGACATTTTCGTAGACCCATCAAATTTTCAGAGGATAAAATAATAATAAAATGCCTAAAATTTCATCGTTTTGCCTCAATTATTGATTAATGTAAAGTGAAAGAAATTTGCATTTATGCACCAAAGAAGATGTAACCTGATATGAAATGAATAAAAGCTCGGATGTAATGCGGGAGGCTTGTGGGGGTCGAAGGGGCGAAAGCTCGATGACACGAGCAGACCTACCCCTATAAACTCCAACGGCGTATTCACATTATCGAATTAGTTTCACGTTTATGACATTACAGTGAAATTATTGTATAAACACCCTGCACAAATTGCACTCTAACCATACACAACCAATTTCCTCTGCTGATTTTAAAATTTAAAGCACGAAATGGAATTGGACTGGACCGTTTCGTTTGATCCAGACGGCGAAATCAAACAAGAAAAGATTTTTGGCATTTGTCGGCGCACATACGACGAAAACCGAAAAACTAGTCGAAATAAATAAAGACACGAGCAAAAAAAGACAAATACCCTATGTCGGTCCAAGCAAACGGAAATCATGTTTAAATCAAAAGCGGAGACGAACGAGTTCTTTCTTGCGATGGCCTTGTACTGCAAACGGGCGAGCTTTCCAGGGAAAAAATTCTCTTTTGTTTTCGATGCAGCATGTCGAATGGTATTTGTATTGTTCAACTTTTTGCTTGATTCGCTCTCTTCACTCAAGACTCAACCAGCACACAAGCCAAAAGAACGACTTGCGACTGAAAAATAAAATATAATTTAAAATTTATCCACGCTTACCTACCCGATGGAATAAGTTCATAAGCTGCGCAAATTAACCGAATACGTTAATAACCAGCGCGCCGGGGAAAATAAAAGAGCGTGCGTCGTAATTTTATTGTATATATTAACAGCAATTTCTGCGTTTACGAGCGTGGATTTTGCGCGCGAGCACTTTTAATATTGACTTTTAATGCCGAGAATGCACCTCTCGCGGGCGCTCAACGAAAATAAAACCCTTTTAATTATTCCTGGCAAGCGACGACCTCCGACGCGCAAATACCCATCCTGCAGCGCAGGTTGAACGTCGAACAGGTTTCAAATTTCTTTCAACGACTCTTCGTCAAGCTAAATAAAAAACCTGCACGTTGATAAATTTAACTTTGAATATTTTACGAAAACTTTTGTTGCGCGAATACCTACCACATCAAACATTCATTGTTCTAAAAGTAGTTTACAAAAGAAAGACTTGCACTTAAATCGCGTCCCTCGTTTTTTATTCAGCATGTAAACTCACTAATGACGTTTTAAATTACACACAAGCCGACAACTTTATGGTATGATTTAATGAAGCCAATTACACTACGCTCCGGCGCACCGGACAGAGTTACTGCACCGCCGCCATCGCCATTCGGCACAATTCGACGACGGATTGTTACATCTACGTGCGCATATTTTTAGTTTCGTGATATTTTATTTTATTATTTTCTCAGTCGTCTCCACACGAGTTATGCCTTCATTAGTCGAAGTGAATCTTGATTACAGACTTTCAACTATAAAACTTGCATTAAAAAATATGCAAATTACAAAAGAGCATTGACCTGTTAATTAATAAAAAATAAATAAAAACAAAACATTTTTTTAAATTAAATTTTGTTGCGGTGAATTTAAATGGAATTTTTGATTTACATTGACGAAAAATGTCAAGAAAACCACGTATATTCATGATGCATCGACGAGACGCGTCAATTCCATGGTAATTTCAGCGAAAACTGAATGCGAATTCTTATACACGTGATGTAGTGGAAGACACTTCACTCTTCACTCGGCGCGCAGCGACGACAAAAAGCGTCGCCGGCGAAGAGGTTCCGACGTTCCAAGTCAACTCTCGCTGCGAGCACAAGCGAGCACAGGAACTCGAGTAGAAAATTACGGTGGGAATCAAGTCCGCGATGCACAGAAAATACATCATATACGCGGGGCCGAGCACAAGCGCACACAAATTGTACTCCTCTGCTGCTCGGTACTCACCGATGAGAACGCGGATTGCGTTCCTGCGCCAGCGTCTGATTTTCGAATTGTGTGTTCGAAAACCGGATGTACAGTTAAGTTACGATCGAAATGGAACTCAAACTTTAATCAAACATAAAAGACCAGACCATATGTTGATTTATTATTTTTTAGCGTAGTAAATTTCCCCGCGTGGCATATGGCCAAACAGAGTGAATTTAAAATGTGAAGTTAAAAATGCATGACTTTCATTCACATCAAACGTTCATTCTTCTTTTCAGCTTGCAAACAAAAACGTGCCTAATAAACACACCTCGATAGCATCTACATTCGACGTCGAATCCCATTTCGAAAAGTGCGTTTTCGTGCGCGAGCAGGTGCGTGACTTCAATTGAATATTACGATCGTGCGCAGCCCAATCAAACGCGTTTTGTGCGATAAAAAAACATTTCCAATCAAATCAAAATCATATTCGAGCATAACAAATATTTGTATAAATATATAACGAATGTGTGTGCCTTTGGTTTTTTTTATATCTGGTTATTGACGTTGTTTACATGATGATGGTGTGAGATGATGTCTAGGGCGTCGGGGGCGTCCTGGGGTGGTTTGTTTAGGACCCCGACGCGTCATACTCACTCGTATATTTTGATTACACGCGATAATTTAGTCGCGCCAACAGTGCCAACACGGCCAAACACACACACATTTCCACCCGGCGGGTCGTAAAAGAAGCGAAGCGGGGGTGAATCGTCCGCGAGCGCGTTTTACAGCGAAAGTGCTCGCAGTGCGTATCTTTACGAGCGCATTATTACGAGCGCGGCGGCACCACACGCACACTATTTGAGCGGGAGCAGCAGAAAGCAGATAAATGCTATATTCTTTTCACCACACCCACGCATACACAGAAATACACTGTATACCACGTGGGTGCTAAATTATCAGTCATAACTGAGTCAAAACACACCGTCAGAATTTAATCTGCTTCAGCACCTAGTAAAATTTTAACTGACGACGCCGAAACTTAAATTAACATCGTAAATTTTGTTTTAAATTAAATTTTAAGACGTAAAGTGTGAAATGACGCATAAAAATATTTGAATTAATAATTAAATGTACAAAATATTTAGTGTACGGAATGATATTAATATTTTAATGTTTCTTTTTTAAATATCTGTTTATGATTTTGCAGATTTCATAGAACTACGGCTTCCATTTATTAAAAAATATGTTTTAAAGGGGAAATATGCAAAAAAAGAAACATTTTGGCAATTTATACCTAAATATTGACGAAATTAGAATCAGCAAAGTTTTTGTCGATTTTTAATGATTTTTGATTTTTTCCACCCAGAATAGCAAAATACTTATTAACATATCGCAAAATACTATAAATACGCAACAATACTTATACCTACCTACATTTTAATTTAAAATAAAAAGTATGTTATGACTAAGTTTTCATTTCTTCCCTTCCTTGTTAGAAAGCCTTCACGTGTGTTGGTGAGTGGTGAGTGCACGGATAAGAACGTTGTTTAGTAGCAGCCTTGCTCCCGCCACAGGGTACTTACTACTTACCTACATGAATATCGAAATCGCGAGGGTGGTTTCAGGTTTGTCTAGCACTCGAGTGTCGAGCGTCGGGAGCGCACCCGAGAAGACACCCTCGTGCTCGTAAACTAGCCACCCACCCCTCCGGATATAATAAGTGTGTGTAATATGCGACAAGTAACTTCACGCGTGCTGACAACAACAAAAAAAAAATAAGAAAAAAACCTACCTATTTATTTATTAATGACTAATGATTGTTGTAGAAATATAAATATGTTAATTAAATGCAAGCATAATACGTGCCCCCTTGTTTGAACCTTCGTTTGCTTCCTTGCATGCAAGGCAAATTGTGATTACTTAGAGGGGTTTGTTCGTAAATTAAGTTGAAATTGATTGATGATGGTGTACCGCACTGACCTAACTCATCGTAAACTTCGTTATGCGACGACGATCTCGGAAACGGCTGCGACTTTCAACTTAATCATTTTAAGCGAATTAAACTCAGCCAGTTTCCATTGCGGCCACCATTCGCATAGTAATAACAGTAATGGTATTAAAGAATTACAAGGCTTAACGATGTTACCTGCCCGCGGTTCGAGAATAGACTTTGGAAGAATTTAATGTTAAATGCGGTTCTTCGCATTAATAAACTTAATGCCGACGTGTCTTCTCATAAATGCTCCAATGCAGCACCAATGGCTTCGACTTGGAGATAATTAATTTTATGTAACCAAAGAACTGAGCCGGGCATTGAGAGGAGCGACGTTATGCCATGCGCGCATATTACACATACACACGTATTGCATTGCGCGCGGACGGCGGACAGACCTGCCTTTGTGACTACACGTGTGCATTTTATGCATGCGGCCCTGAATCGGTTTTAATAAACGATTCAACGTGCCTGTATTCGACGTGCGTGAAGGAGAGCACAACGGGCGAAAGAGACGAGAAACTTTCGAAACGGTACGAAAATAATGCTGAAACGCGCCGGGGAAACAAACCCTTCTGCTTGCACAACACACGCGTGCTAAACAAACCGAGTTCTGTTCTTACATGCTTTTATTTAGTCTGCAACGAACGTTTACTTCTTTATACCACGCATGTACGTTCAATTGAACAGAATTACTTTTAAACCAGAGATAGGTACACATAAAATTTAATTTTAAACTTTATAATAATCCTACTTTACTGCCGCGGCATTAAAATTGGAATTTTATCAAAATTTTAGTAATTAAGGCTTAAGAAGTAATAAATAAATTTAAGAAATAAAAAAAAATTAATTAGTTTTCGGTGTTTTCTTTTTTCCGAGTGCAATATGAGCTTTTAGATAGTCATAAATCTGATCTTGGGTGGCGGTGGCGTTCAGTGGGATACTACACGCAGGTAAAAAATAACCTCGACGATGCTCAACAAATTAATATCGTAAGTTGCGGGCATCTAAGAAAAGCTCTATTTTTCCAACCATGTTTTATCGGCTAGAGACGATTCGGACGAATCTATTCGCATCAGAGCAGTTCACAAACAGAGACGTATTTAAAACAAATTAAACAAAAGTTTAAAAAATCTTTTTTTTAATATTATCAATTTTTTTTAAATCTAATTAAAAATTACTAATTTATATTTTTATAGGCTAAAAATTATTACGGCCCTGCTAAAAAAAGATTATAAGTAACCGTCGCGACGGTCGAATCAGAAGATGATTTACCGGTTCGTCGGTTCGATATTATTTCCCAGCTTTTGACAGATTCTCGAGGCCAGCGTGGGGTCGGATCCTGATCGACCAAAATGTTTAATTTATTGCTTCGTTACAAGACAAAAACAATTTGTAAAGAAAAAGAGGATCAGTTCTAAAGAAAGGAAAGTCTACGATTCGATATAGACTAATTTTAATTAACGCGCGCGTTTGATGTCGGTAAATTGTGTAAACAGAACTAAAATAGAACTCACGGAGTGTTTATGATACCTCGTTGAATTCAAAACGTGTCGGCACAAATAAATATGTAAAATGCAATTTGCACTTGCTGCAACGTTTCGCCGACTGCGCCAAACGAATATAAAATACGATACTGCAACATATGCTCGCGCTTGTAAATTGGTGGTAGCACATTGCAACGAATATAAAAATTTCCATCACTTTTCATAAATTTTTCTCTTTAAAAACGTGTTACTATAGTATTACATGCACATGCGCGTAGTGTAGTTTTAAATTTTGCCCTTGTAGCGACACTGTATGTTCTTTAACCTAATTTCTGTACTAGTTAAAAAAAAAAGAAATTTTAGGTACTTACATTCGATGTTTAGTGATGCAGAAGAACTAGTGATGGATAATCCTTTGAGATCTTTTGCAATACACGTAAAATGACCGGAATCTCGTTCACGATCAACTCGCGTGATGTGCAAATTAGACCCTTGTTGATATCGTCGTGTAGTATTAAAAATTCTTGATCCTACAGCGAAAATAAAGCAAAACGTAATTAAATAAATAAATATATTTCTTGTAGATATAAATATAATCACCATTCAATTCCCAATAGTAGGAGACACCATGATTAGGTGTCACTTCGCACGGCAGAGTAATAGATTTCCCCGTCACGACTTTGGCGTCCTTCGGCGACTGGGAGAAATAAATTTCATCCTGCGCCGTCGTGCCGCCAACCAACGCAATCGCTGCAAGTAAAAGAAGCAAATGCAATTAATTTCCCAAGAAGCATTCAAGCAATTATTTTAGATAAGTGGTGCCATCAACACTTAGAATAATTAGAAATACAAATATACAGGCTCGAAGCGTAAATCCAATAAAAACATGTGTAAAGTGAGGTGTAATTGGTTTGTCCACCCCGAAATAACAACCCTTAGTTCCGAAAACTTCGCAAAACTATAGCACACAGGCGAAAACAACGAAAGTGCAAACAAAGTCCGCAAGCTACACACAATACACGCGTAAAATAGTCGAGAGGCAAACAGAAAAAGTCCCTATCACATCGAATGAAATTGAACTCGTTGAAAACGCACATAGGGTGTGCACAGTGCACATCCAGTCACAGAGTAATGTATGTTGTGCTAGTACTCAATGATCTTCTCTACTCTTGACTCTCTCCGTGCCGGCGATGTGGCGCAGTGCGTGCGCGAGTAGCGCAGAGACGCAGAGTAGCTTCATCAACCCTTATTAGGGGACCTGACGACGCATTCAAGACCTAGGCGCGGTTTTTTTTTGCTTCCTCTTCTTCTCCTTTTTTTTTGCTTTATGTACGGTACGCGGAACAACGACAAAACACTTTCGCAGTGAAAAGAAGGTTTTGCAGCAGGCAGCAGGAATTGTAAAATGTAGAATGTTGCAGTGCACGGTTAAGTATTTAGAACTCTGTGGGGAGAGATGCGCGTGTTTTATACTTTGCAGTCGTAAATTATTTTTGAGGAATTTCTTGTAAAAGCTAAAGCAACTTTTGCTTCCACGCACATTTTAATTAAATTACATCTACAACTAGAAAAGTACATGAAGAAAACAAGAAGAAATAGAAAAATTCAAGTGGAACTATGAAGCGATTCTCTCGAGACTTCATGGTGCGTTTCGCAGAGAGATGAAAAAGTAGCAGTTTGAGGTTGACCGATAGATCCCCGACGAGTTAATCAATTCGTCTATTTAAGGAGTTTCACTATGCATAATTAGCAATTCCAGTTACTTATTTTATTTCAAAATATAAATTTCTAAATAATTAACAAAAAGCAATTTAAAGTTGTTTCCGAAACAAATTCAACTTAAATTAAATTATTGTTTTTTTAATCTTAAATGTTGTGAAATGATTGAACTTTAACCATGTCTGCATATGGCGTTTATGTCTCTCTGAAGATTCGTTCCTTCGTTCTCTCTCGTCTAACATTGTAAGATAGAATAAATTTAGATTACGCGCAGCAACGGCACACGATTCGCTGGATCTTTCATTTTCTGGTTTTCCTGCAACGACTTCGATTCTCGCCGGTAGCACACCGTAAAAGCATTCAATATGCATGCGCAGTCTGAACTAGCGCGCAAAAGCAGCGCATGTGCTTGTGCTCGCTGCGTTCGTTGTCAAAGCTCTCAAAATATGACTACATCGAAGCCGGCGCTGAATTCGTTTGATGATTTCTCTCTAGTTTATGCTATAGCTACATCACAGGCAGCCTGCAAATAATGTATAAATGTTTATCGTGTGTGTACTCCTACGAATATTCAATTTTCATACAGCCAAGAACAAAATCAAGAGTTCAACTCGTTCAACTCTACCACGCACAGAAAATATATAAAAAACGTAAGATTTTAATTTGATGATTTAATTAATATTAATATTCGCATTTCATGTCTTCGTGTCTGATTCTTGATTTAAGATTACAGAAGTCTTATACTTTAAATGATATCAACTTGCGCATATAAAAAGTGCACCGAAAGTAAACATCCTCCTGCGTTTATGTAAAGCATATCCGGCAATTTATGGCGCGCAACAGGGGGCTCGCTTTATTATAATAATAACCAAATACATACAGAGTTACAGACATAAAGCAATGCCACTGTACGATTATTATAGGTATGTATGTACGTGCGCTGCGTCCGAGATGAAGCCGCCAGCGCACCACCCAGCGCAAGATTTAATCGGGTTAATCTTCGGAACGGTAATGAGAACCAGCGAGGACGTAAGTTCCTGCGCCGATCGGGGCTGATATTAACATCTATGCATAACTAAATTTTAATCTAGTGTTAATAACTTGTTATCTCGTATACATTGCAAGGTAATCAGATGGTATCACTAGATGCATCCTGAATACGTATTTTTAATGTGGAATATTATCAGGAGCTCGGAAAATGGCACCAATGGAGAGCTTAGAGGAGAAAAATTAAGTTTTGACTTTATTTTCACACATTGTGAAAATCACTTTGTTTTTATATAGTAATTTATTTATTACTCGAAAATGGTTTGAGCAAAAACAATATTACTTTCAAAATTGGATTCTTAATTAAATTTTTTATCTCAACGTCTTAAAATGTGTACGAAAAAGATAATAATCACAGCGTAATGTTAAATTAAAGTTGGTATTGCAAAAAAAAATATTATAAGATCGTAGAAATTGGTCCGTAATTCATGATAAAACACTGTTTTCCATTAAATTCATACTAAATTTGATCTATAATTTAATACTAAACAGAATCCTGCAAAAATCATTACTGCAACTTGATTAATTCACGAGTAATTAACAAAAAACTAAATCATATGACTACAATCATCTAACAAAACTCAAACAAAACTCTATCCAAAATCGAATTTTGATACAAATCACATAAACTAATCACTCATGCGTGAATCTAGTAACGAGATAATACTGTAATGCACCCCAACGTCCGCAAGACTATCCCGCTCGCCATGCCAATTGTGCTTCTTCACTTCGTTGAATAATGTGTCATTACTCGTACATTCACAGAAATGTTCTGTACCTTCACATTCGTATGTATACATATTCCAAGAAGAAGTACGCCGATTTCGACGAAATAAAGTAGTTTCCGAAAGCAATTGGTCGTCGACACAATAGGATTCCTTTCAAATTGGACAGATGCGCCCCAATTATCAATTTTAAAAGGTTACAACAGCCACGCCGGTATAAAAAACATCATTCGTTAACAATAACATACATATAGGTGGAAGGTGCGCCTGCTTCATTCTTGACTCATCAATTTATCAAGAGTTTTTTGTATGTGAGATGTTATTAAACTTTTGGTACTGAAAGAAAATTGAACGGCGTACACTGCGATAAAGAAACGATAAATGTACGAAAGTATGTAAGTACGAGGTAATTTATGTGAAACATCTGCCATAAATATCAAGTCGTATCACCATTGGCAAATTGCACGTGCAAAACGATCATCGACATAATTACACAAAAATACTTATCGCAATTTTTTCCTAATCAAAAGATGTTATTAATTTTAAGATACATTTATTTGTTTTTTTTATATTAGACGCCATTTTAAAAACTGCCCAAGCAAAAATATTCAAAATAATAATTTACCAAACCAATTTTACAAAATTTTACCAAATGATTAGAGATGATAAAATAATATTTTTTAAATTTCCAATTGGATAACTCACCTAGGAATACGCCGAAAGCGCGATGAACTAATCCACACATGTTTCCGCTCATTTCAGCAAATAACACACTGTTCAAAGAAAAAAGTCACCATAAACGTTCGACGTTTGTTTATCGCCGTTGTTCCATCGTTGTTTACATGTGGCACGCCGACAAACCACGCTTTTATTCACCGGTATTCACACGTTTCGCGTAGTTTTCTGCCAGGACAGTTCTATATTGCAAGATTCACTAATATTCACCAAGGTTTAGTAAATGAACGCGTCTTATTATGGCCTCATGCCGGTTTTGCTAATTCGTCAGAGTGCGAGACCATATGCGGCACGAAGCGCGAGGGCGAAGCATTCGCGATGCACTCGACGGGCAGCCGGCGTCTGCTCTGCTGAAACGCGAACCAAGCTGAACCCGGCGCGGCGTGAATTCCGGTTTGTAATTCAAACGTCGGGCGGCGTCGTTGGCCGCACGCCGAAGAAGTGAAGAAACGAAACAAGCAAGAACAGGGAAACATCATGTATGCTACTATAGGCAACCCAATATACAGATTAACAAATCTACATTTAAAATACATGTTATGAAAGATTCCAAAGCAAAAGTTATTTTTTCACCAATTATACAACATCTAAGGATTATATGTATATTTGTCACAGTTACACAAGCAATTTATAATCAAATATTGCAGGAATAAATGAAAGTATTACCATGCATGCAGTGTTTCATTAGAGATAAAATTTGAAACTTAGAGATTTGAATGATGGCTGATGAGCAATTTGAAAATATACATCGAAATTAGAATGCATTTATGCCCTTGCTTTTTTCTATCTACCTATCTATCTATCTAAATAGTGTAAGAGTGTATTTACATTTTATGAGCTTTGGAATTCGTGATGTGTTTTTGGTCAACTTTTCAGCAACTCACTACAACCAGCTACATAGCTTGCTTAGTATGTATGTATTCGAATCGAATGCGTTGTTTCATTCTACGAGTACCCTACGTCATGTACCTGTACTTATTATGTTCTACGTCATGTTATATTTCCACAGTTAAATTGATCACAGCATTTTTTCTCAATATGGTGAATGAATACGCAAGATATTCCTATTAAATACTTCAATATGCGTTAGTTTATGTCACATTTACTTAGATTATTGAAAGAAGCCAATCAAAGCTTAAATTTAATCATTCACAAAGTTTTTCTTTAACAAAAGAATATTTTGAGCGCGTTTATAGTACCGTTCTAAAGTATTTCAAAATTTGGTAAAATTACACAAATAATTCAAAATGCGATAAATTGACAAAAAGCTATAAATTTGGAAAAAAATTTGAGTTTTGAAAAAGAAAAACTCCGAAATTGTAAAAGATTGTCACAAATTTCCTCTTCTAAAATTAAATATTGGGGTTTTTCACTTGTCATGTCTACAAATGGAAGCATCTTAATACATAACTAATCGTAATCATTCTTTTGACATCACTTAAGAGAGTACATTCACCTAGAAGAAATTTCTTAACGTGATCCTCCATCTCCTTGTATTTGGTTGTGTCTATATCCGTCTTAAACCCTCCCTTCTCAATTTCATCCTTCTGAATCGACAGTTCCTCCGAAGAAACATTCAGTTTCTTTCCAACACTAAAACTAGCATCTTGTGATGAAACCAACGACTCTGAACAATCTGTCCCGCAGTTACTGCCAACCGCCGCTGTTTCAGTCAAGTTTATACTGTCCATCCACTCCTCAATTCTTTGGTTTTGGTAATTCGTTGCGCTATTCGTCAATTCGCTATTAGTAAATTCACTATGATCGCCCGATGATAACGACGATGGCTTACGTTCTAAAGATGCAACTGGAACCGGAACAACAGGCGCAGAAACAACAGAAACATCCGCTGTTGGTACAAGTATGGAACGAAAATCATCCGAACAACTTTTAAGTAATAAACTTTCATAATTCGCTTTCGACTGCGGTTGTAAACGCGTTGCAGCAAAAGTATGGGTAAGTTTAGTTTTATCGTGCGTTTTAACTTTATGTGATTTTTTATGTGAGCGTTCATTTGCAAAGTAAATAATCTCACCACCATTATTACCTCCTGTTGAAGGTGTACCTAAATCAATCAAATCATCTGTTTCCGTCACAGCGACAGTATTAACAGTTGCTGTGGGCACAACTGTCGGTGTTACAGGCACCACACGCACTGAACCAAGCTTGTTACTACTCGTCACCGGCTTGCGCAACTTACTACATTCTGTACTCATAAGATTATCGTTCAAGAAATTATTCGGCTGCACTTTCGCAACGTTTACAGCCAAATTCGCGTTTGCATTCGCTTCATAATCATGAATATATACCGGTATCGCTTTATTTTTACCTGCATCAACACTACTCACACCCTTGACGATCTGTAGCGTTGATCTTTCGGTAACTTTATTATTGCATTGCAGACACAACGAATCGTTTTGTGTTGCAGTGAGTGTGCTGGTGGTTTGTGTTGCGATTGAATGTTGCGATGTGTTGTGGATGATTTTCAGCTGGTTGGAGCAAGTGCAAGTGTCGCAGTGTTTTACACAGGAACGCTCTCTGGCGCGTTCCTCGAGAACTTTCGCCATTATCGCAGCAGAGACTATGTCAACTGAAGGCTCCGGTTCTTTTTCTTCGCGGGTTCTAGGTGGAGATTGCGATTTGGGCACGGAGTACACCATTGCAGTAGGGGGGAATGTCGGAATAGGAACTTTAATGCTTTTTATCTCCGGCGGCGTTTTCTTTTCGTCTGTTTTGCGCTTTCCGCCCATGTAGGTTGAGACTTTTGCTTGTACTTCATTTGGTAACTATAAAAACAGAAATAGAAAATGAGAGAATTTGAAATTTCTGCTTGTACATTGTTCAAACTAATACCGTATTTTAAATTTATGCAATGATTTACCGTTAAGCGATAAAGTTGCTTTAAAGAGCTATAAATAATTTCATGGTCAACTTCTCACAATCAAATAAATTAGACTAATAGTAAAAAAGTTATATTTACCGTATCAAACTTCTGAGAAACGAAATTTCCTGGTTTACACTGCAAAAACTGAATCGCCACAGAAACATCGTTCTTATATCGCTCCTAAAACAAACAAATATTAAAAATTAATACTGTAACTGTCTTTTCTGTATTTAGTTAATTGTTTGCATAGTTAAAATGTATTTAATTAACTTACATTATCTTCAGTAAGTTTTTTAATGGTATAATTTGCCTCAGCTAGTTTGTATGATAAAGTAGCAACATCTTTAGTTAATGTGTTCTTATCAGTTTCACTAATGTCAACTAATCTTAAAAGTTTATCTTCTAAACCTTGATTTACCCTCTGTATTCTTCTGTGAGCATCATATAATCTGAAAGATAGCAACAGTTTTGTTATTTGATTTATTTAATTACACAGTAATTTTAAACATGCCTTTTGTACTTATCCTGCCATGTTAATAACTCATCATGTAATGCCAACAACTCCCCATTTGGATATTTATTTGCTTCATTTAAGAAGTTGGTCTCCATTGTAACAATATGATTGTGCTTCTCAAGAAGCTGCTGCTTCAAGTTTTCAATCTCCACATGCAGGTGGACATCATGGTCTAGTGTACATTTAGGACACACACAACCGCACTCCTTTAAAATAATAAAATAACAATTAAACTATGTATTTTAAAGAAAAAGATCATTCTTACTTTGCACTTTATGTTGGCCATTTTATAGATGAGAATATGTCCAATTTATGTTTTATAATTAAACATATGTTACTTGTAGTAGCTTAGATAGTTTTTGTTTATCTATGGAATGTTGTTGTTGTTAAATATAGTGCTGAATCGCTGCAATTGATGAGGAACCGAGGCCAAAGCATTGAGCGGACGCAATTTCGGTTGATTGCGAATAGTCGCGACGTAGTATGTCGAATTACTCATAGGTACACGTCGCCCGCACCGATGTGGAAACAGTTTTTACCATTTGGGAAGGGAAATTTGTTAATAACAAATTGATGTGTGCGCAATTCAAAAAAATACTACACTTTATTTACAAAACGTCATAGTGACGTTTAACTGGCCGGATCTGGGTACTTTTGTGCCTAGTTACTTTCGTGTTTAGAACTTTTCTATGTTATTCAAATTTGTATTTGTGTTTACTAAACTTAAATATTTAATGAAAACACATTTATTTAACATCTATAGACTAGGAAATCTATTTATAAATGTCCTCGGGAAAATATTAGCTTGATAACTAATGTAGTGTATACTTGGTTGCCTACATTAAAACGCATCATTAGATTTATTTAAGAAAATTCATGTTCTTAGACCGATTCATGTTTTAAGTCAAGTATTACATTAAAATAATAAATTAATCATTATTTATTACAAATATTAATAAACATTAACCCTCTAAGATAGAAATAACACTGTCATTTGGATTAACTTCTTCAGTATTCATCATGGCAACAAACTTCTTTTTTAACTCAGGATCTCTAATAATATGTTCTGCTTTAACATTTTTATTAGAACAACCAATGTATGGACATTTAACTTTCTTTTTCAATCTCTTCCTGTAAAACTGTTTCAGATAATCCATGATAATATCATGCTCATATACATGATTGCAAACACTGTTCCTAGCAGGATCACAAATTTTATTCTTTGTGATTGGATCAACAGGAATGTAATCAACTTGTGAGAGAATAAAACTTCTATCTCCCAGTGCACTGTCATTGTTGGATTGAGTAGCATTTTCTTCATCATCATCAGAATCGGATTCTTCTTTATCTGGTATATTTTCCAGTGCTTGTTGGAAAAGCTCTTCTGTAGCTTCTTGTGATCCTGCTTCTGGAGGTGGCATTGCTTTTAACGCTGCCAGCGAACGTAAATGCTGGGTATTAATTGTATCTAATTCATTTAGAACTGATTCCAGCTCAGATGCAACAGAATTTTCACCAAAACTTGTCATTATTTGTTGGAATTCAAGAATTGTTAATTTCTGCTTTGCTAAAGACCCCAAAAACTCTTCTTGGTCCATATTTGACAAAGTTTACAGCAATATTGAATTAAATACAACCACAAAACCTCGAAAATTTTAACAAAACATTTGCAGAAAACATCAGACCGTTTAATAAATTGTGAGGTTATATTGATGCGTAGGTTGTCTGTCAGCGGTGGTGAAGGGCTTGGGTATTGGTGGGCTGGTGAGGTTGTCACTGTTCTGAGAGGTTGAGCTCGCTTGTAACGTGTCGATGCTTAGTGAGGTCGGAAGCGCGAGTGTCGTTGTGAGCTGCCGCTTCTCATGCGGACAGCTCCTAGAGATCCTAGCACCCTAGGATCTCTAGTTGAGCATCCTTAGCGCGGTCAAGTCGGCGGTGCTCGTAGCCCCAATC